TATAGTAGTCCTTACAACGGTGGTATCAACATCTTTGGTCCAGGTATGTTTTCATAGAGATGTCCATGATGCTTCTCAGCAATCCTGGCCCAGACACATTTGTATCACAATGCTGGTCTCAACCTGCCTGCACTAGACACACTTCCACAAGGATTCCCATGATGCTAGTCTGCATCTCTCTGTCAACATCCATCCCTTGTCCTTGCTAAGCCCACCTCTACTATTCCAGTCTAAACCTTGAGTTGTGGGTAGGTCGCCAACCACTTTTCATCTTTGTTGTGACTGTTAACTTACCAGAATCTAGCATCATCTGAGAGACGGGCCTTAAGTTGCTCATATTAGGCCATTGTGTCACTACTCAAACATTTGCCTTCCACAGCCAGGGAGAGACTATTCCAAATGATAGTGACCGTGAAGGAGAAACATCAAAACCTTTTTGACCTTGAGGGCTGTGGCATTCAACCAGGGACTGTCACTAATTCCAGTGTCTAAGTAGACCAATGACAAAGAGACGTCTTCACTTGCTAGGGCTGTGAGGGTAATGATGGCAAATTGACACCAGATTTTTCTTTTTTCTTGATTTGGAAAATAGGAGGATTTGACTTGTCAGCACTTGCCTACTGGATAGGTTTGCCAAGAATTCTGCATTAAACAAACACACACACGCCTACAGCACCCTTCCTCCCAAACAAGCAGAACCTACTGGATAAGGAACCAGCTCCCAGTTAGGAGGGCAATGTGGGTTCATGGCTTTGCTGGCTTCCAAAACAGATAACCTGAAATCTAGTTCTGCCTTAGTGTTTCTTACTACAAAAGTCTGAGCTCCAAAGCAACAAAGTTTAGGCTTTGTTTTGACCTACAAGATTTCTGTTGCTTCTAGTAGGCAAACTTTGGTTAAGCAATACACAAACTTCTTAAAGCCTTGGGAGATACTTATGTCTATATACTCTATACCTTGTTTAGTCTTGCCAACTTGATACAAGCTAGAGTCATTTGGGGAGAAATAACCTTAAATGAGGAATTGCCTCCATAAAGTTGGCCTGTGGGAGAATCCATAGAGTTATTTTCTTGATTAATAACTGACACGGGAGTACCCAGCCCACTGTGGGTGGTGTTACCCCTGGGAAGGTGGTCTTGAGTTGTGTAAAAAAATAAGTTGAGCCAGTAATCAGCATTCCTTTGTGGTTCCGCCCCAGCTTTCTGTCCTAACTGAGTTCCTGCCTTGCATGTCTCTGGGATGTACAGCCACACACTTTCCCTCCTAAGTTGGTTTTGTTGGTGTTTTATAACAGTCATAGAAAGTAAACTAAACTACCTCCTATAGGCTTAGGGACGGTGCCACTTTAGTTACCTTGCACCTCTGTGTCCCTTAGTCCTTTTCTTTCTGACCTCCTTGCAGCATCCTGGGCATTGTGTCTGTGGAAATAACAACTTGCCATGAAGCACTTTTGTATCAGCACCACTGTGCCCACAGGGAAGATGGGAGAGGATGAAGCGAGGGGTGCATCTGTGCAGATAACACTCCCTGACTCCTCAGAATCTCCAAGGGACCCAGAGTTGGCTGCACCCCTGGACCACAGTTTTGAAGGCTAGCCTGTGGAAAGCCCTCCAGAGAGTGGGCCAGAAAAGTCAAGCTCAGGGGTGTAGCCTTGATCCCAATGCTGTTGTACCCATTTGTCATTGTGCCACATGGAGTGTCTATATCAAACAAGAGAACTCTGTTCTAACCACATGCTCTTGGTTGTATCATGTTTACTCTGATGGGTAACAGTGATAATGATCTGAACCTTTGAAATCAAATCTGGTGACCTCAGTTGAATGGGCAATGGGGATAGAATGTGTCACTCTGCGGTCATGTGACAGTCCATGAATCTCGGTGTGGTGGTTTCAAAGAAAATGCCCCTGAAAGGGGGCGGCACTATTAGGACAAGTGGCTTTGTTGGAGTAGGTGTGACCTTGTTGTAGGAAGTGTTGTCACTGTGGAGGTGGGGCTTGAGGTCTCATGTACGCTCAAGCCATGCCCAGTGGTGTCTCAGACCACTTCCTGTTGCCTGCCAGTTAAAACATAAGGCTTCTCAGCTGCTTCTGCAGCACCACGTGTACCTGCAGGCCACCATGTCACCCCATGATGATAACGTACTAACCCTCCGTAAATGTCAGCCACCCCAATGAAATGTTTTCCTTTATAAGAGCTGCTGTGATCATGGTGTCCCTTCACAGCAGTAAAAATCCCTAAGGCCCCGAGTGAGAGTGGAGGTTCCCATTAAAGAAATTCATATCTGTATTAATCTTACCATGGTTCTTTGTACTTTTCCATGGCTGGAAGACAGGCAGGCTGCAGATACAAGCGTGTGTGCAGTGAGTCCTCACCCTGAAAAGCCAGCGTCAGAGAAAGGGGTGCATTCCTAACACCTTTACTGCACAAGGAGAACCTGAATTTTGGCTAAGGGACTCTCTGTTTGCATAGTCCCCCAATTGTGTCAGATTTCCATCCCTACGACAATTAACTTATAAGGCAAGGTTTCTTTTTGTTCGTGTTTCGGAGGGTCCAGTCCATGGTGCGGAGGAAGCCCAAGAGGGACAAAGAGAAAGAAACTGTCATGCAGCAAGCTCTCTTCCAGCTTCCTTTCTGTGGCTGTAACAAGCACCATTACCAACAGCAACTCAGGGAAGAAAGCGTCTGTTCGGGTTAAACATCCAGGTCTTGCTTCAGTGAGGAAAGTCAAGGCAGGGGCTGGGGGCTGATCTGCTTGCTGTTCTACGCAACATCACCTTTGACCTGGAAACTCATTTCATAGCCAGGAAGTACAGTAGGAATCACGGAGGGTGCTGCTTGCTAGCGGGCTCACAGGCCTGCTATGCTCACCCGGCTTTCTAACACAGCTCAGGACCACCAGCTTGGGAAACGGTGCCACCCACAGTGGATCGAGGCCTTCTACATCAATTAACGAGATAATCCCCACAGACATGCCCACAGCCTAATCTAATCTGGGCCATCCCTCAATTGAGAATTCCCTCTCAGGTGAGTCTAAGCTGCATCAAGCTGACAGTTAAAACTAACTAGGATATCCTCTTTAAAGAAACATCCCCAATGACCTAACTTCCTTCCACCAAGCCCTGACTCCTAAAGGTCTCACCATTTCCCACAGTGCAACAGGCTGAGAGGCAAGCCTTTAAAACACATGGGCCTTTGGAGGGTATGTTTAAACCACAACCTCTACATTTGTACTTTTCTGCCCCTTGGGCTTTCTAGAAATCATCTCTTGCTACGTGGAGAAAGAACAGGGAGGAACATCACACCATGGCTCACTATGAACTGACGAGTGGTGGCCCCATCTGCAAAGAGCCTCTCGATTTCCAGTCTCATGTTTGGATTTTCAAGGGACCATGGGATACAAAGATGCTAGAATACATGTGCAGAGCTTTACCTATGCAGAGTTACCTGCATTCCTCAGTCATTTGCCCCTTTGGCTCATCAACCCATATCATCCCTATGCTGGAGCAGAAGACAGTAGCCCAGGCCCCTAAGGTTGCTAAGGGGTCTGGAGGTCTGAATGGTAGCTCTGGAGGAAGACCGAGGCCACACAGGACCTATTTAATCTTCAAACCACTATCGGAACCCAGGCACAGATGCCAGGAAGAAACCTGAAGGTTGGAGGCTAAACAGAATCCAGAGATGGATTAACAGCATAGTCGACCTCCAGGCATGCTGGGAAGTCAGAAATCACTTCAGGACATCTCACCTATCTCATTGTAGTCAAGCAGGTGGCAGCTGGGGTTGGCACACGTCTTTCAGCGGGTGGTCAGGTCAGACAAGAAGGGTCCAAGGCCATGCACTAGGCTCTCTCTGCCCATGACCTTCTGATTCCAGCCCTTGTCCCCCTTTACAGCCATGCCAAGACCATTCAGAGCAGGGCTCCAGGAACTTGTGAAGGTGCAGGCCATCCATATCACCTGGCCTGAGGTGGGCAGGGAGGAATCTGGCCACACCTGCAGCCTGACTGGGCTCACCCGGGACCTTAGCCAGAGGGATCTTAGGAACCAGAATGTCTATGGGTTGGGATGACAACCTCCACCCCCAAGGCAGAATATGTCCCAGGGATGCATAGGTGAAATCCATGAAAGTGTGTAACACACTCTAAACTTTTATGTCTTTGCTGCATGGATGACATACCTCCATGTAAAGGGAAAGGGAAAGACCCCCCCCCCCGTGGGGCCCATTGCTTTCTGGCTTTGCATCCCTCCAACATGTACCAGGAGTGGGGAAGCCGGCCTGCAGGCTGAGGCTTGAACTACCTCCCCTTATCCTCTTCTCCATGACAAGAAGCCATGGTGGTGAGGAGCAAGGATTTATTTGGGCTCTGTTTGAGAGGGGAGTGTCCATCAAAGCCTGGTGGAGAAGACATGGCAGACCTGGGCAGGTATAAGACCAGCCAATTCATGGGCACAGGATCAAAGCTCTAGATGGATGTTTATCCAGCACACTGTGTGTGACATGCATGCACGCGCGCATGCCTGTGAAAGTAGGATGATAAACTCTGCTTCTTGACCTATCTCTCCAGGCTCTGACCTTGAAGGAGGAACCAGAATATGAAGGATTGGGCCAATACAGCCTAATTCTCTTGATGCTGTTGGAGGTATCAGGGAGTGGGAATTTCAGTAGAGGTGCCTAGGGTTTGGCTACCAGCACCAGGGGCCTTGGCATCTAATGGGGCTGTTTTCCAAATGCCATCAGACTCCAGCCAGATCTGCCTTCGGTCCACCCAGTTTCCAAGTCCAGTTCTCCACTCGCTCCCTCAAGTTTCTTATCATCCATCCATCAATCTCCTCTGTTTAAGTCAGTTGGATTTGGAAGCTGTTTTTTTGTTGTTGGGTTTTTTGTTTGTTTGTGACCTCTAAACTGACTCTCTTTACTCCTGCTGGTGGTGTTAGGTGGGAAGGGGGGGGCATCACCACTTCTGGAACGAAGCAGTGTTGTGGACCAACTATAACACAGCTCATGCACAACAAAATTCCCTTTATTGATATTAATCACAGTTACAAGGTCTTATCCGGAAGAAAGGATGATCTGCAGTAACAGAACTACACACAAAGACATGAGGATAAAATATACATGTGTGTCAATCACCAAACTAGCCTCAACCAATCAAGACTCTGAATGAGTCTTCAATTTTGATCACCTGTGCTTCTTCAGAACGGACATACGCCCAGCTGAGGTGGGCCTCTGGGGACTTGAGCATTCACAGCCTATAGTATTCACCCTGGGAGGGACGGACCATGTAAACACAGAGAGCAGACACTGATAACCCAGTACATGAATGCCTGGCTCCCAGGTACTGTGAGTCCCACACACTCCTCTGACCAGGAAGGGCTCAGGCCTCAGGTGGGAGGGCTGATGGCGGAGCTACATGTGTGATAGAGCAGGTTAGCGTGTAGTCCAGGGCCAGTCATTCTTCAGGGTCATCTCAGAATTTTAAGTTTTCTAAGAAGGGAAATGCAAAATCACATCTTTTCTTTCTCATTGGAATCTGACCAGATTCCTACAAAGCCTGCTGGAGCTCAGGGGCTCTGGACCTGCAGAGAAAGCGCCTTAGCAGACGCCAAAGGACATTCATTCACCGAGCTAACTTAAGTAACTCCATTAGTAAACCAGGGGGTTGAGTACTCGCAATTTGCCAGTATCCACAAGTGTCTCAGGAAAACAATGGCTGTAAACACATCAAGATTAATAGCTAGGAGATCTAGGAACCGTGAGTAAGTGCTCTGCTCTTGTGACCTATCAAGAGCAGAGACCTCCACTCAGTACCACACTCACAGCGCTTTTCACAGAGCACACTGTGTGTGTGTGTGTGTGTGTGTGTGTTCACAGTCACCCTACTTTCCAAATTTCTCTGACCTTGGCAATGCCAATCTTTGCCTTAGGACAAAACAGGAAGACTAGCTGACTCCTTTCCCTTTGTGTGGGGAGCCTCCCATGTGTGTCTCTGGAGGAAGCAGACGCTGCTTGAGCTGCCTCAGTGTGGGAGAACAGATTTCTGTGTTCATGATGCTTCTGTCCCTGCATTCCCGGTGGACAGAAGGGCCATGGTGAAAGAGCACAGGGTGCTCTGGCCACCTGCTCTAAGACCCTAGGCCAACCTGCTCAGGGCTTGCGGTGAAAGAGCTGCCTTGTGGAGGCAACCCTGAGGAGCTAAAGTTGAGCCTAGTGTGGGAGATTGGAGGTGGGACAGTAGAGGTTGGCCTTGACAATCCTACTGAAGAAAGATTCCTTCCACTCAGTGGCCCAAACACAAACCTACAGTTCTATGACGCCTTGAGATTACAAAGAAAACCAGCTTTTCCCTCCAAAGCAAAATGAAAAGTCAAAGTGTAATCAGAGCTGATCTGTAAGGGCATGGAGAGGAGAGAAAGGAACGGGATTTTAATAAGGAGAGGGGCTCATGGTCCTGCAGAAGCTGAGCACTTTCCTTCCTGGGGTCCCAAGGTTGTTGGAGCTAGCCGAGGCCCACATCCAGGGACATCATCACCACGAATCCCAGGATGGAGGCCCAGGATGCCAGCTTCCCATTGCCGCTAGGAGAGAAGGAGAGGAAGATGGTAAGACTTAATCGATGCTTCCTGTGACCTTGTCCGGGCTGATGGCCCCTTCTGCCCTACCCAACTAGAACAGAGTATCTTACTAAAGGTGGCAACACTGGCAAGTGGGTATCATACGCCAATTGAATGGTCACTCCTAATCCCAAGCAATGCCCTCAAAGGTCTCATTATTTTGTGATTCTTGGGGCTACAGCATAGGGAAATCATTTGGCCATGGCTCTCCAGTTCATGCTTGAATAACAAAAAGTAGTGATCAGAAGGTGTCTTGGTTTGGGTTTCTATTGCTGAGATGAAACACCATGACCAAAAGGCATGCTGGGGAGGAAAGGGTTCATTTGGCTTACACTTCCACATTGCTGTTCATCCCTGAAGGAGGCAGGACAGGAAAACAAACAGGGCAAGAACCTGGAGGCAGGAGCTGATGCAGAGGCTGTGGCGAGGTGCTGCTTACTGGCTTGCTCAGTCTGCTTTCTTATAGAACCCAGGCCCATCAGCCCATTATGGCACCGCCCACAATGGGCTGGGCCCTCCCCATTGATCACTAATTGAGAAAATGCCTCACAGATGGATCTCATGGAGGTATTTCCTCAATGGAGCCTTCTTCCTCCCTGATGACCGTAGATTGTGTCAAGTTGACACAAACTAGCCAGTACAGGTGGTCTGGCGGGGGGAGGGGGGTTGGCTCATCAGTTAAGAGCACTTATTTCTCTTGCAGAGGACCTAAATTCTGTTCCCAGCACTCAAATCAGTCAACCTTCTAAAGGTGGCCATCTGCTTCATCAAGGGCCAGGGGTCCCTGCTTTATGCTGCTGTGTGATGCCACCTTCCTTCTCTTTATTTCGGTTTTAGCAAGCAGAGGAGGGACAGGAACAATTGTGGGAGGGGGCAGAGTGATCTTGGAAATAAGCAAAGGGAAAGGAAGAGAGGACAGATGTGAAAGTGGGAGGGGTTATCTCAGAGGAGGTCTGGAGCAGGGCTGAACAGCTGGGCAAGCAAGCTCTCCACCTGATCTGGGCTTCCGGGATGATGTCGTCCATGACCACATAGACCATGGCACCAGCAGCAAAGGCTAGTGCATAGGGCAGGACAGGCTCAGCCAGCACCACAGCAAAGGCTCCAAAGACCCCGGCCAAGGGTTCCACCATGCCGCTCAGCTGTCCATACCTAAGGAGGGAACAGAGACATTGGCCAATACAGGGATAACCAGGCAGATGTGCCACTTGCCCAGGCTGCTGATCTAACCCTAGAAGACAGACATGTGCAGCAGGCATCTTCTCTGGCTGCGTTCTAATAAATACCTCCCGCTCCTTGCCCAGTTCCCTATGAAGCAGTTCTGGGAGCGTTGTACTCCCTATCTCCTTTGGATCTTTAAGTTGACTGTATTTTCTTTCAACAATGACAATTTGATTGGGTCATAATGTGCATCCCATGTAACATTTACTGTATAGGCAATTGTTTTTAGTAGATTTACAAGGTTAAGTGAACATCACCATCAATTCCAACATCTTCATCACCCTGAAAAGAAGTCAGTGGTCATTAACAGCCATGTCCTGTTTCTTCCTCCTCCCAGCCCCTGTCACCATGAATTGTTCCATCTTTTTTCCCCTCTGTGTGTTTGCTGCCTCTGGATATTTCCTATAAACAGAATCATATATGGCTTTTTTTTAGAGGTTGGGGCGGGGAGGGTGGCTTATTTCTCCTAGCATAATGTATCCATGCTGTATTATTTATTTTTCTCTTTTAAAAACAAGTTTGGAATGTGTGTGTGTGTGTATGTGTGTGTGTGTGTGTGCGCGCACGCTTCTCACTGAAGTTAAGCAGGGAGCCAACCATCCCCAGTGATGGGGTTGTAGGCATACATGGCCACATCTGGATTTTTATAGGAGTGCTGGACATTCAAACTCTGATCTCATGCTTCTATAGCAAGTCCCCTCTCCACTGAGCTATCATCCCAGCCTACCTAGAATGTATCTTTTTAAGGATGAATAACAGTCATTGTACATCTCTGCTCATCTTTGATGCCTATGTGGAGTGACAGGACACTGATTAGGAATGGCCTCAATGTCTCCCAAGGACAGTTTTGGGAGACATGTACGTGGGTCAGGCTGTAACTGTATTCTTCTGTGGCAGAGGAGGGCCTACTGGACACTTGTGTAGGACTGTACGCTCTCTACTCCCCACCCTCAGAGCCGCCATCTTGGCTTAAGGTGAGCTTTCTCCTTTTAAGGAATCCCTTTATTTGAGCTGGTAAGATGAGGTATCCGCGGCTTCAGAACAAATGAGCCCCGGACAAACGGGCAGTGAAGATGAGTGAGCATTGAGGGTGGGAAGTAAGCTGGGGCCCTATAGGCGGAAGCCACCGCCTACTTCTAGCCTCCCCGGAAAGGAGGGCAGCTTGTATGAGATCCCAGCTGCTCTCGGGCTAGAGGCAGAAGAGGGCTCAGGAGAGATCTTTTTGCTGGGGATTCTGTTAGAGTAGATACCATGTCCTGGCTCCTTGTGTTTTCACAAACAGACCAGCAGGACACACAGCCCTCTGGTTTATCTGAGCCCTGCCTGTGGCCTCGCCGTCTCTGGAAAATGTAACTTTGACATCAAGCCCAGACTGGAGTTTGAAGAAGAGAACAAAGCTTCCCTTCTCAATCTTGGTGCTGATCACAAATCTCCCCGCTCCTTTCTCCCTGGTGCCATGACCGTAAGAATGACAGCTGTGGCTCTGGTACTCTATGAGGATCTCAAGGCCACCCACCTCCTTTCTCTCCCAAATCCTCTATTTGAGGGCCTCTAACAACGGAGAAAGGGATCTGTAGAGGGTGCAAACTCCATCACTTGAGGACCTGTATAAGCTTGCAAGTCACAGGGCCTTATGCAATGGAAGGCATTTTAAGATTGTCTCTGTTAGCAGTCTGCATGAGTGCTGTGACCTTACGTTGTAGATCAGTGATTGTTTCAGAAGGAAATGTGGGAGGGTCCTGTCCCAAGTGGAGGACATATGAGAAAAAGCTATTATAAGGACTCCCTGGGCCAGGTGGTGGCAAGATGATCCCCAGCTGTGACCATTGTGACATTTAAGGAGACATATTATGGGGAAGTGGCTACTGCTGATGGCCATGGGTTGCTTTGCACAGAAGCCCTTGAAAAGGGTCATAGTTACTCAAATTGGTCCTGTAAAGGTCAAAGGTTAAGAGATGGGCTTGTGTCTTGGGGTTTCTACTACGTGTACAACAGTCACCCACATTCGTGGTTTTCTTCCAGAAGCCCCACATTGGCTTCCAACGTGAGCTTGACCTTGCAAAACGGCATCCACGTGGAATAGCTTCCAGCCCACCCAACTCTCTTCTGACCCAGTGGGCTGGAACACTCACCAGAAAGCTCTCCAGGTAGAGAAGCCTGCTCCGCGCAGAGGGAGACTGACAGCCAGGCCCTCTGGGAAATTCTGGATCCCAATTCCAATGGCCAAATTCCTATAAAAACAACAGAGAAAGGCACAAGTCCTAGTTAGCTGTGACTACTTAACATGGCCCAGAGTCATCTTAGAGAGGAATTGCTCAGGTCAGACTAGCCTGTTGGCAAAGTCTGTGTAGGGCAATCTCAACTATTAATTGATTAGGAGGGGCCAGTCCACTGCAGGCAGTGCTATTCCCTAGGCAGATGGTTCTGGGCTATAAAAGAAAGCTGGCTGAGGATGAGCCTGTGAGTGAGCCGGCAATCAGTGCTTCTCTATGGTCTCTGCTTCAAGTTCCTGATTTTCTGTCCTGACTCCCCTCAGTGATGGAGTGTAGTTTGTAAGCCAAAATAAGCCATTTTTCTCCCCTAAGTTGCTCTTGGTCAGAGTGTTTGAATCATAGTAACAGAGAAGAAATTAGAATAACACATAAACATCCTTGTCTGGAATCATGTAAAGTGGCGATTTGAAAGAAAATGGTCTTTTTAGGGAGTGACACTATTAAGAGGTGTGGCCTGGTTGAAGGAAGCGTGTCACTGTGGGGGTGGGCCTTGAGGTCTCCTGCACTCACTCTATGTCCAGCATCACAGTTCACTTCTTGTTGCCTTCAGACTGAGATGCAGAACTCGCAGTTCCCTTTTTAGCACCCTGTCTGCCTGTATGCAACCATGTCCAGCCATGATGATAATGGACTGAATCCTGGGAACTGTAAGCCACCCCAATTAAATGTTTTCCTTTATAAGACTTGCCATATCATGGTGTCTCTTCACGCCAGTAGAAACTCTGACTAAACATGGCCCATCAAAAAGGGAGCCTTGCCAAGGCCTGAAGCCCTCCTTTGGTGCTAGGGGGCCAGGCATGGATCTATGGTGGGTAAAGGAAGGAAGAGGGTCACATGAAGATGGCATTATAGGATGGAGGGACATCTTCCTCCTTGCTGCCCTCCTGTCCTGAGTCCCCCGGTCATGTCCTGTCTTTGTATGCTATAGTGCATTATAGACATGCTGGCTCCAGCTCAAGATGGCCCAAGTTCTGCCATATTGCTATGCAAGTCTGTCATTCCTGGGACTTTTATATGTGTGTGTCTAATGCATAACATGGAGATAATGTCATCTACCTTGAAGTGTCATCGTGTCTCAGGACAGCCTAACAAAGCCAGAAAAGTTCTTAGCACAGAGAGATGATCTGTCCACCTGAGTTTCCGTTTCCTATAGTGCAGAGATGGGTGTGTCTCATTTTCTCCAGAAGGGACATCAGAACCACACTGAAAGTGACACTGATGTGGCTCCAGGCTCAGGTTTCCCATGGACCCTTGCTGCATTTCTCTGGGCTTGGGTGGTGTTCACTGAGAGAGTCTCTGGCCTTCTGACTCTGCAAGAGACTCGGGCTGTGTTGTATACCTAAGTCAGGCACTAGGGACCTGTCTATGAGGGATAGCTTTGTGCAGAAGCCAGAGATTAGATCACAAGGAAGGCACACGGACAATACATAACTGATCAAGGGAGACGAGGCACACACACAATTAGAATTTATATTGCACACACATGAACCCCTGTGCCAACCTACAAAGAAAGTAGAGATGCCACAGGAGAGGACGGGACCAGTCTGAGGGCAACAGAAAGGCAATCTAAAACTACCTCCCTGGACAAGACTGGACCTTTGGTTGGACAGGTCGAGGACCAGTGACTCCATGGACGGCCTTTCTAAGTACAGCGCTTCAAGGGAATCAATCGACTAGCAATGCTGGCCTGTAGCCTGAAGGGCTTGTGGGTGGTCTGGATGCCAAGGGCAAAGTTACCCCATGCTTGGCTTTCTGGGTGATTGACTCCTCCTGTCGATCTGCTTTGCTCACAATAGGAATTTGCCCCTCAGCTCCAGACAGAGACAAGAGAGAACTACAAACTAGCAGCTAGGCCTTATCAGGTCCTTACTGGCCACTTATTTGATGCTTGGCCCCAGGCTCGAGGATAAGAACACAATTCGCTGCCTTGAAAGCCCACCTGGCCAGCTCTGGCTACGGCCCTCCAGTCTAGACTGCAGCAAAGAACGTAAGGGATAATACTCAGTATTAAATGTCATATCTCCATTTAGTTTGGAGGCTTCATCTTCATCAGGTTTGCCTTCATCCACCATCACCATACATGTACATGTATCTCAAATGGAGCTCAATAATCCTGTATCCTGGGACCATCTCAGGTAGTCTCTTAGACAAAGACAAAGCTTACCAGAATCGAACTTACAGACGTTATGCTGGTATGTACTCTATTTAGCTAACTCCTATGTTTGAATGTTTGGTCCTCATTTCGCAGAACTATTTGGGAAGGCGTAGGAGGAATGGTCTCCTTGGAGGAGGTGTCACTGGAGGCATGGTTTGAGGCTTCAAAGGACTAGTGCCATTTCCAGTGTGCTCTCTGCCTCCTGCTTTCGGTTTGAGATGTGAGCTCTCAGCGGCTCCTACCGCCAAGCTTTCACCCTGCCATCACAGACTCTATCTAACCAACACGTCCTTTGATAAGTTGCCTTGTTCATGGTTATCTCAGCAATAGAAAAAAAAAAACTTATATAGACGTCTTATTGATTCCTAGTCAAGATAGAAGACCCAACTACAGTTTGTTCTGGAAGCCTCTTCTACCAGTTTTATATTCAAGAAGACCCTGAGGTCCTATTCCAGGAGAGGGGAACACTGGGCACACATTTCTGTGGAAGAAACAAACCTCAAGAACAACTCCCTGGCAGTGTTTCAGTATTCCCCACACCGTCTTCTCCACAGTCGCTGGCAGAACTGTCCCTTTATATTCAACACTACTCAGTAGCCCCTTGCCTCTCCCCAAGTCATGGTCAAATAAGACCAGCTTTCTTGGCCTTTTGCAGAGACCAATGCTAAGGATTTTCCCCCGAAAGAGATCAACCAGGGATAGTGGTTCTCAACCTTCCTAATACAGTTCCTCGTGTTGTGATGATCCCCAACCATAAAGATTATTTTTGCTTCTTCATAACTGTAATTCTGCTACTGTTATAAATGTAATGTAAATATCTGATATGCGACCCCAAAGGGGTCATGGCCCACAAGTTGAGAACCACTGGCCTAGGGGCTCAAAATAGGTCCTGTGTCTCTCCTCTGATACAGAGGCAGAGCTGGCTTATTGTTAGTATCGATCCTTCCATATACCCAGGCAGGAGCATGACCTATCCTAGGAGTGAACATGGAGTCACCAACCCAGTGTCACCAGCAAGTCTAAGGTGATGCTTCCTGTCCAAAGTCCTGCCATCCACCAGCCAGGTTGGGGAAGCCTCCTCCCCATCCTGCCCTGAAGCTGAGCCCTGATAAGCAGCACAGAAACCCATTCTTCCATCCCTGGCAAGCCTCATTGCCACTGCCCTGCCCTGCCCTAGCCCTGGCACACGGTTTCCAGCCGCACCCCAAGATCTTGCCAGGTCTTTCTCTGCAGGGCACTGCTTTGCTGTGTGATCAGGAAGTCTGTCCTGAACATTCCTGAGACCATGGTGTGGGCCACAGTCTCTCTGCCTGCCCTCCTTCCTACACAGCCTCCTAAATTCAGCTCTCCTTTATGTACACACACACACACACACACACACACACACACACACACACACACACACGGTCAGCTGTATGCCATGTTTATTTCTCATTGCTCTAATGAAATGCCTAACCAACACCTTCAGGAAGGATTTGCTTGCTGCGGCTCATAGTTTCAGAACATTCAGGCTGCGGTCACATGGCTCCATGGTGTCTGGGTCATAGGGAGATGTGAGGCAGAGTATCATGGTAAGGAGCACATGGCAGAGCTGTTCACATGATATCAAGGAAGTAGAGGGACACAGAGGAAGGGAGAGAGGGAGGGAGTGGGGGAGAGAGTGGGCTGGTTAGGGAAGGTCTTTTTTTGTTGTGTTTGTTTGTTATTTACATTTGAAACAAGGTTGTCTTACAGGTCAATCCCAGTTCCCTCACCCTCAGAGGACAAACTCTGAGCCTACTCCTGGATGTGCTGGCAGGGATGGGAGACTGTGAGGAGGGGAAACTGGGCCTCATACAGAGCTGATGGCTAAGAGGAGGCCCCACCACAGTCCTGCTGTACAGCCATCCATGATCTCTGACCTAACCAAACATCCCTGAGCCCGTAGGCCTGGCCGACTTCCTTCCTTGCAGCCCTGAGAAGGGAAAGCTGACATGAGAGGCTTCCTTTCCAGGACCTGCTACAAATTCCAAGCAGTATTCTAAAGGGGGCCCGCCCAGTGTGAACGGGGTGGTGCACAAACCCTGTCACGACCCCCTTCAGAGCCCAGCTGTGCCAATAACCCCTTCACCAGCTCCCATGAATATGGGGAGCAGCCATGCCTCCTAGTGACCTGACACCAGGGCCTGACTAGGAGGTGTGACAGAGGGGACCTAGCAGAGGCCCAGGAAAGTGTTTACAGGATAGAGTGTCACTGGAGGCCAGGCCCTGTGGTTGCAGCCTGGCTCCCTGAGGAGGCCTCTCCTGGGAAAGGTGAGCCAAGGGTCTGTGTGGGAGGGCTGCCTCTCAGAGGAGTTGGCTTTGGCTTGAGTGCCAAACTTCTACTTACCTTTTCCTGGGAAGTCAAACTTTGCCAGGGCAGACCAGACCCAGAGAAATGGCTACTTGCAACCCAGCCTTGGGGGTTAAATATTAGGCTTGTTTAAAAATTCATTGCACATCGTATTTGGAGAGAGAGACAGAGAGAGCGCAAGCTTTGGAACAAAAATGTTGCAAGCAAGAAGACAATGCAAGAGAGTCTACCCCTTGGACTGGGCGTGGGGGTGACTGGCAGGGCTAATGGGACCACGGGCACTCATCAGTGTGTGTTGGTCAACGCCAAGGCATCAGAATTTCCCAGGCATTCACAACTTTGCTGGTGGGAATCAGTATATCCCAGAGCTGAGGGGTTTTCTGGGATGGAGGACTTGCCAGTACCAAAGCTAGGACTGTCCCAGGACAGTAACAGAGACAAGGCCCTGGGGGAGGACTTTTAACATGGAAG